AAGTACGGTGCCTTTCTGACAATCAGCTATCTATATTATAAAAGAAGTAATTTATGCAGGAGCTATTTATAGATAATATATTATCAATTATATTCTTGAAGACTGATTTCTGACACTAAAATGCAAGGGATATCCACCCAGGAACTGGATGTGAGCTAATTCTTTGACAGCAATGAAAGAATGCTGGGTTCAGACTTAACTTCTAACACAAGAATCTAACAGTTTTGAAAATGCTTCATGCACACACACACATAGATAAACACGTTTATGTATACATAGATAAACACATGTTTATGTATGCATAAAAGATATATTTATGCAAGAGAAAAATGCACCTATTACAACAAAATAAAACACAAAACCAAAAACTTATAGTCAGACATTCAAAATTAAGAGAAAAAAATACTACTATAATATTTCACAGTCAGATAGGAGACACAAAAATAAACCAAAGAGGTTGCAAATATTTTCTGTCAGCAGGTAAGTACTGGAATATAACTTGAAGGAAGAAAAACAGGAGAAATATAGTAGTGCTATATGTTGCTTCTTCAGAAACTTTATTGTATGCAAAATTATTGCTCTGTCTGAGAGCAGTTACCTACCTAAGTGAAAATGGACCTTGTTTCATTACAGTGTCTTGTGATAAGACATGCTACATTGCTCTTCCTTAGGCAGAGTTCTTCTGACAGTCTAAAGCTTGCAAGCTACGAATCAGGGCATTTTTGGATCATGGAAACTTAGCTTGCAAAACGCGAGCCAAAAATTGCCTTGAGAAACCACTATGAATGTAAATCAAACCTTAGTCTGCATGCTGCTGTGTTGCTTATTTATAATTTTTTTTGAGGAAGTGTAAGAAGCCCTGGAAACATCTTAACAAACGGTCTTTCTTGAACAAACATTTACTAACATTGCAGATTAGAAAATGGGAAAGATCACATACATGACAAGTTCAGGTTTGGCTCCAAAAGATAGTGACTTCTACAGTTAGCATCAGGGTTCAAACCCATCCAATCTTGCACATTCCAATGGCGAGTTTTCAAAGCTTATAATTTTGTAATATTTTTTACTTTTGAAATTTGACACATTTTTGCTAATCAAAAAACAAAAAAAAATCCTTTTCCCTTGGAAGTGTGAGTTGAACTAAACCAGTAATTTTCTATGAAAAGTTTACCAGAAAATCATACATCTCACACTTGTTTTTGAGAGGTCTGAGCTATAAAGATACCACTGTCCTCCTTTTCTTTATTAAACTTGTGCATTCAATTTCAGGAAAAGTACTTTCATTTGTAATGTGCAGCTGTCTGTATTTCTCATATTCTAGAGTGAAAACTGGAAAATTTCATCAAGAACAAAAAAAATCTCAATTTTAAATAAAGCAGTAAGCTTAAATTTTGAATACGTTTCCTGCTATGCCTGCCTTAACAAAGGCCCTTAATCCTTTAAAAATGTTTGCTTAAATACATACAATATATACAAAAGCAATAAACCATTTGCTATGATATTTGTCCTTTAGCAGGAGCAGGTAAGAGCAAGAAGGGGAGGAAGGAAAAGGAGGGAAAATCTTGACAAGAATATATATTAGAGCAATCAATAGAAAGATAATCCTTGGAATTCGTGAGTCTTTAAAAGAAAATGCATTTTCTTGTAGTAATCCTAAAAACCTATAAAAGAATATTCAAGCAATAAACTCCCCATAACTCATATTTAACCTTTAGTCATGTAGAACTACATATTAAATAGCTTAGCAACTGCATGCTGTGTAAGTGCATTCAAATAACAGCAGAAATAGAAAAATGTAAACGCTACAACTCTTTTAACATGCAATGCACAGCCAAGAACATCTGCCAGCTGACCCTATAATCCAATCGGCTGTTCAGAAGCAATCATAGCCTTAGATAAGAGCTCAACAACTTCTACATGCAATGCCCATTTTCTTTAAAAGATTTAACAAAATACAGTTAACTAACTCTTAAACAATTTTCAAACACTTAGAGGTACAAGACAAAAGTAATTCAACATATCACATGGATTTGCATTAGAATACTGTCATCTTTTCCCCCAAATATTGTAATTCACTATCTAATTTCATGGGATAATAATACAGAACAAGCTGAAAGCTAAAGTGACCGTGATAGCTCAGAGTTTACTTCTCACATCTACCGCACCAGAGAAACTGTATAGAATGAGAAGGTCTACAGGCAGAATGGGCTTAAGACAGCTGAAAGAGTGGTTTCAAGATCCTCTTGTTATCAGGGAGAGGCACCTCCAGCCAGGGGTGCAGCCCTCAGATCCTAGGCAGCTCCCCCACCCCATTTTGCACAGGGATTGCAGGAACAGCTCCAGTGTCTGGCTCCAGGCAGGCACCCAGGGCTTCAATGGCATGTTGTTAGCACCAGCTGAATTTCCTGCCAGAAGAGCCAAAAAACTCCACGGAATTAGGAGCGTAAACCCCATGGAATATAATGCAGGAACAGGATGTCTCATTATCTCAGTATAAAATTAAATTTGTGCTAAAAAGTTCTGTTCTAAATACAAAAGCGAACTGCACTGCCATGACTGAACTGCTTCTAGGAGGACAGTGTGCTGTAAAAAGGTTTTTCTGAATCAATAATTGTTATATTAATCAATAAATTGTTTTGATCATACAAATTGCTCTTCTCTCTAAAGCAGTAGCCTTGCTGTATTGTATCTGTATTGGCAGGGATCTGGAAATGGTGGGAAATTGTAAGAGAGAACTGCTGGAATACTGTTTCAAGTTACGCTCTCTGTACTTAAATTCATGTCAATTTTCTGAAAGGCATTGGGAAAAAAAAATGGACTTAAAAGGGTTTGACAAGAAGCCTAGAAAACACCTTTCAAAAGAAGAGAGTTAAAAAATTATTTGGTTTAATGAGAAAAAGACACACACTGACCAAGGGTGTTAGTTATAAGATAATGGAAAATGGAGGGTTCTCCAAAGTAATTGATTAAGCAATAACAAGATTCAAGCTCAGAAACAATAATTTTAAAACAATAACTCAAATACTGGAGGAAATAATAAAAGAAATCTACTGGCACCTAGAGGAGGTTTAGTCTTGATTTTAAGTTGTCTAAAGTCTTTATCAAAGCATAAAACACAATATAGCATTGTCACCAGCAAAAGATAAAGAAAATCATGCACCAAGGTGACTTAGCTTTCTCATGCCTCATACCACAGAAAAGCAAGTATTGTATTTCAGATATTTAACCCAGACTATGGGATTATGTAAAAATACTTAGGAACTCACAAATTAGTATATACAGAATTATGGAGAGTTTTGCTCAAGGACTTAAACACTGCCCACCCCGGAGGAAAAAGAAGACACTGCCTTGCCCTGGATTAAAAATATGTGTCCAGCTTTGTTAAACATCAGTGCAATCAACTAACCCGGTTCGCCATCTGAACAGACAACTTTTCCGTGCTGCAATGTACCTAAGGATTTCAGCATTTCTAAATCAGTGCTGGAAGTCAAAGTCCAGTGGGTGCAGAGCAAGACTCGTTCCTAACTGCACAAAGGATTAAGAAGTATATGGGGAGCCAAAAAATACAAACACACACACATGCGTGCATAAATATATAGACATACTTATAGATCAAGCCGTGTGTTCCTGGTAAAGGAGCAAAAAGCACCAGCCACATTTATATTAATACCAGCCATAACGCCGATAAAGCTTACAGAGACACAATTTCCAAGTTTAAACAATTTCTTCCCTCCAGTATCTTCCAAAAGGGTATTGGAATTAGCAAATCTAATGTGTGTGGGAATAGACAACACTTTATAGCAATGTTTCCTTTTAATAGAAGTAGTCTGCTGTGTCTGTGGGTAACAATCCCGGTATCTTTTCATTACAAAGGAGCTTATTGTTACCTAACAACTTACTGTGGGATTTCATTCTGCTTCTCTGGCGATCTCTCTGATCTATTAAGGAAAGCACTGAGGTATGGACAACATACACTTTATTGCAGTTTTATATTTTCTTAGTCCTTGCTTCTTCTGTTAGTCTACTGCCTATGAATTTCAAACAGTAATAAGAAAAAAAAAAAGTATTTAACTAGCTTCTCACAAGAAAAATAATAAACTGTGAGGAAAATTAAGCAAGTTGAGAATCAGGTGGTAGAAGTGGTGCTGCCTCCCGGGACACGACTGCTGCTGCAGCGATTGCACAGTAAACAGGATCCAGCAGCTCTAGCACCTGTGAGCCACTATACAAATACATCTTTGTAGGAAGACTGTTAATGGCCTACTACAAAAATTGTACAACATATTATATATATACACACTCACATATTCATAATATACATCAAGTCCCTTCGGCATGACAGTTTCTGTCCTATTAATTAATTTTCATAGTTGAATTTGAAAGAGCGGGCCAAACTAATAGTACTTCATCAGTGTTAATTAGCATTAAGAATTAATCAGTATGTGTAAGAAATCTCTATTAGTTTTGTAGAAATGCATACAGCATTAAATGTCATTTAAATAGATGTTGATTTTTTTTAAGAGCAGCAGTTTAGAGATTATTTTCCTCTAATGGGACACTTCGATATTGAATATACAGAGGTTAATGTTGAAGGAAACTTGTGCTGTGTCTAAGGGAAATGTTGCCAAAAATAGTAATATATACTTAACAAATGTTTCTGCAGCTACCATAGTCTCAGAAAGAATTAAAGATTTTTTAAATGTCTGTGACATCTCAGTTCTCTGATGTTTATACACTACCCAGGTGGGATTATTTGTCCAGGGCTTCCTGTGCTATGGTAGATAAAAACTGTCTTTATATAAGAAATGAGGTGTTTCATGCCAAATTCTGCTGTCCTCAAGAAGTTCTAGGAGTATCTACAAAACCCAAAACAAAGAAGGGTCCCCAAGATAACTCCTGTTTGTAATTTCTTCACCAGCTCAGTACTTTACAATCTTAGTTAAAACTACAGTAAGCATATTCTCAACAGAGATTTCTGTTGGCTATTTAACGCCACTCACCTGATTCTTGAGATCCAGTTTGGGGCAGGGGCGACCTCCATTGTAGGGCTTCTCCTTAAGCCATTTGGATCGGACTTTCACACCTGTTCCACAGGAAGAGCTGCAAGGGGTCCAGGTGGACCAATCACTTAATTTGCAATCAAATGGACAAGGAACCGTGCAAGATTCTTCAATGTAACCTAAACCAAAAAATTAAGAGAGAGGTTTTAATCACCACAGCTCGTGAACTCTGATGATATAATGTCTCTGAAGTCTGTGTAATCAACCCAACATGAGACCTTCTTAAAGAGAAGAAATTTGGCAGACTGTCAACGCTTTCCCAATGCAAGATAATGGTTTTATTTTTAACAAACAGCAGTGACTAAAACTAATTTCTTCGTTTAGTCCAATTATTATTAATTTGGATGACCACAATAAAACTGATTGATATGAAGGATGTACCTTGGCAAAAAGTATCTGTTGTGAAGTGGGCAATGGACAACAGGTGGTAATTATCCTTCCTATGAGAATCTGGCCATAATATATTCTGGAGAACTAAGTGTACTGCCTGATTTTGTGATCCTACCGTGTTATTTTGTCTGCCTATATGGTCACCCTGGGCAGGGAGTCAGAGCAGACATCTTCCCAGCAGACATCCCACAGCCGGTGGACTCACCAGGGCTGTGCTCCTGGCAGCTTCACCAAGATGCGCAAGGTACGTGTCTGTAGCCTGCCTGCTGCATCCATCTGGGATTTGTTCTTGGGAGAAGGGAGGAAACACACCTTCCGTATTTTTTCTGGTAGTTCTCTTCATATATCTTTGCAACCATTTTGACTATTCTGCATTTCATAAACGGCATATGAAAACTTTGCTTTCACCTTCACCTGATTTGACATAAAAGTGCTCCCAGGATCGCTTAAAGTCAGAATACCAAATACCTTACTGCACTAAAACCCTGTAGGGTTTGTTAGGACAAAACCAGGTCTCCTCCACACAGACACAGCCCCACAGCTGGTTTAGGAGCTCCTGAGCATCCCTGCTCACCACGCTGCATTCATTCTCCTCCAGTTTCTATTATCTGGTTGTCATGTCTGTACATACTATTTTGATTTAAACAAAAAAGAGATTTCATGTTCAACCATGAAAGTCAGTGGCTGCTAAGATCAGCCCTTATTACAGAAGGCTTAGTCCCTCTGACAGCTCTAGTAATTATGGTCATGGAAATAACAGAATTTCATCCATACTGTATTTCTGACATTTCTCATTTTTATGTCCTTTCTTTTTGTTTGGTTTTCAGCCCACTAACTCCCTATGTATTCCTTACCTGCAGAATACCAAATTAACTGATTTAACTACACTTTTAAGAAGGATTTCTCCCCTCTCTATCAAGATGACAGTCACAACAGCAGGGGGAAACAGAAATATACACAAGAAATAAAAAAAAGTAGAAGCAGCTTCCCTCCACAACGTCTGGACAAGAGCCCTGACCACCCAGGAAACACTGAAGCCAAGGCAGGGAGATTAGTCTTGCCTGGCAGCTGGATTTACCGGCTCTGCCATGTCCAAACCTGCTGCTGACTTTAAACCAGGACCGTGTTACATCCAGAGCATCAATCCGCAGCAGCAGCATGCTGCCTCCCTCCTGGTCTTCATTATCAAGAAAGCTTTCAGACTTATTTAGACATCTCCCATCCAGAAAACATCCCCCTCCCAGGAGTACAAGAAATACTGACATTGTTTTTGAAAACACTGCCTTAAAAAAAAAAAAAAGAAACAACAGTAGTTCCCTCCTTCAGTCCAACGATGCTCTATTTCTTCTTTCTTTTGCTTCGTGCTGGTACTCTGTTCCCTCTTCCTTTGCACAGCCACCCTGTTAGTCTGACAGCTGCGATCGTTTCTGCACAGCAGTTCCTGCTGGAGCTCTTTCCTAAAGCTGCACAGCTGTCCCTGTACAGCGTGCTCTGCTTCACTTTGCTACCTCTTATCTCTGTGAGTTGCGTTGCCTTTTCATTTGTGGCTTCAAAGCCACTGGCATTAGGCATCTTAATTATTTCCTACCAAACCCATTACAGTGGTGATCACATATCTGAGATAACTCAACTCTGCATGTTTTGTATTCTCATTGAGATGACATTATACCCACGCACGCACATATACAAATATTTCCAAAATACACTCCCTTTTTTTCCCAAAATGAAACTCCCCAATTTCCCACCAACATTCTATTCCACCCGCTTAGGTTGCCACTCAGAGCAGTTCATAAGACGTTATGATAAGTAAAAGAAATTTTCTCATAATAGATTTATGAGAGGCATTTCTTAGGCAGTACTCTAAAGAGTTCTCTTCCACCACTGTATGAAATATCATTTTTCCTTGGGCTGTGTGACAGCCTAGGTAATTAACTCTCAACAGAAACAAAGAAAGTGCCTTGTTTTAAAGGAGGATTAGACAGAGGGGTTATCAACTTATCAGTGAAGGCAAAATGGGCTAAGCCTTTTGGCAGTTCAAGATCTACCTCTGTAATAAAAGAAATATAATAAAAAACAGAAAAGTAAGAAAGAGAAAGGAAAAGTATAATAAACAAAACTAAAGAAATCTTTTCTACTTCATTGCAGCAAAGTACTGTGGGGATCCCTCAAACCACAGGATTTCTAAAGACTTCCTGGTGCTAAGAGGCCAGCTTATTCCTTTTTGAGTTTCCTCACCCATATTTATAAATTATATTAAGTATAAATAAATAATATCCAGCTAATAGAGCATTACATTACCTTACTGCCCAAAAGAAACAAAATTTCCATATTCGACAGTGGTAAAGAATCAAAATGGGAATATAACCTTCTTTTAAGCTCTTCTCACAAGCCATCATTATATCTTCTATTAACCGCTTGAGGTCAATCCACTGCTGAGATTCCCATGATCAAAGATTTCATTCAATAAAATAAATTCCTGCAAAAATCTTTCTGTGATGAATCTTCTCTGCTCAGATATGCAATGTCTTTACAGATATCTTTTTACAAGAAACTACTAAATAATGTTGCACTCAGCTCATCTCCAACCCTTTCATTACTTTGTATCTCTGTAGGAACCCAGCAATGGCTTGCCAATGTCAAGGGGCTGAAAACAGTTGAGTTTGGATACATACGGTAAACCTAGATTTGCACTTTTTGCACTGGGGTTCTGCATAACACAAGAGAGAAAAAAAAATATATATATATATATATATATTATTAAAACCAGCTACTAATAACAAATTCTACATTCAGGCTATTAACGGTAGAAGTGACAGTAAAACACAGTTACAGACCAAAACCAGAGAAATATTTTGACTGTAACAGAACATGAATAAAGGAAAGAGCATGCATATATTTCTGAGTCACTGTCACTCAGCCTGGGGAGATTAACTCATGGTTGAGCTTACTCATATGGTTTTGTCAGTCATCTTTAAGCACCTCACTCATCCATTGCATTCCCCATTTTTCTCTCATCTGTAGAACCCAAGATGAAAGATTTCTTGAGTTTCCAAGACCTATGGAAAAAGATATAGGCACTCGCAAACCCTGCCCAGCCTGTTTTCCACGTTCTCTCTTCTTTTGAAGCTTGCTTCCACTTTATTTATTCCTCAAAAGCTCAAATACCATTACATTAAAGCTCATTTAATTTAGAAACTACATATGAGAGCCTTTGCACTGTCTGAATCATGCTCCTGCATGTCACTGAGCTCGAGAGCTTGAGCACAGGTGTCGCAGGAGGTAGTGACAGAAACTCCAATGCATGGGAAATTGTAAGTAGGCACTTCGAAACATGCTGCTGGGAATAGTCCTGAATTGACAGGAAAAAATGAACTGGTTGATCAAATAAGATTTTTTTTTTTTTTAATGTTTAAGTGCTATTGTTTTAGTATTGATACATTGCCAAGATAATAGGACGACCAAATGCATTTACCTAGGCTGCCAAGCTCATTTTATTATTATTTATTCATTAAGAACAATGTGCTTGTTGCTCTACAAGCCACAAATGGAGTTTCTTCCCTAAAGTGTCCATAATAAACAAAGTACCCGCAGAATACACAGGATGTACCGGGGAGGCACAAGATGTAACAACTATTATTCTTGTCTCATTTTTTTCTCTGCAACCCAAAAGCAATGAAGCAGGACAAGGCAGATGAATAAAGCAATGATGACGGTTTGGTAGGTGTTGGAAGTGCAGGCTCGAATGCATGGTGTAGAAACTGTTCTTGTCTCATTTTTGCTGTGCAACCCAAAAGAGCCGAGGAGGTGGCTGAATGATGGTCTGTGGGATGTCAGCAGTGCAGGGGGATGGATTTGTGCAGTAGCACAATGTCGTTCCCATCTACCCAAACCTACCCGAACAACACACGTCACACCAGGCACAGCCAGTAAGGGTCTGCAGCATCCATCTGTGTCCCCCTCCGCACTCACAACCGGATTGTGGTGGGAGAAGTAGGCAATTAGGAGGTTTACAGGCTAATGTGAGACGCTGACATCCACTTGATTGTTGCACTTCCAAATGATAAATTTGCTGAGGGTATAAGGTCTGTGTGCAGCGTTAAACAAAAGTGCCAAAAGGATTCCAAGAGGCAGACTTAAAAGTGATTGGAAAATAAACAACATTCCTCCGGCAGCTTTGGAAACAGATGCACTTCTAATTGAATTGGCTTTAAACTCATTTGTATCCTCTCTAGCATATTTCATCATTTCAATTAACAAACTTCTAGCAGTTCTACCCTTGTTAGTAAACCTTGAGGTGCTTCATAAAATTCAAGGTCATTACTAAGAGAGGGACAATTCTGCATCACCGCTACTGCCGCTAGTAATAACACAAGTAATTTCCCTTGGAGTCTCTAGGATAAAAGAGATCATCCTTCTACAAGCATGAGAGAAGCAAAGTGGACAGTGACACAGGAGGAATGTTTCTAATTACACAGACCAAAGGTAGAGGGGAAAAAAAAAAAAAAAAAAAAAAGAATCATTTTGCTATTTGGTAACCGGCTGTGAAATATGTAGAATAAGACCAGTAAATCCACACAGAGCTGAAAGTCTAATAGCTAGGGACTTCATTAGCGAGACCTGGTGGACCATGGCACTTGGCAGGCCAGATTCTGCTCTGCTAAAGCTTCGGGATCAAACACAAAGCAAGATGGTGTTTTAATTCGGGTTAAAACTCTGCATCGAGCAGCTG